TTCGGGTATTACTGATCTTAAACTGTGGTGAATTTTTTTTAGCCCCGCTTCTTTTAACTTTCTTTTTATTGATAAACTAATGTTCTTACCGACCGCTAAAATTAAAATAAACTTTCTTTGTTTTTTATTTTGTTGATGAATAAATTTAACTCGATGTCTTAAAATCTCAGTTTTGCCGGTGCCAGGGTCAGCATCAATTATCAAAATTCGCTCGTTAAGTGGATACTCTACACAATCCTTCTGCTCCTGGGTCAATTCAATTTCATTCATAATATTTTACTTATGTGTTTGCTACTATAAAAGATTTTTTTAACCTAACTTGCCAAGAAGTCTCCTTGTTCTATAACTGGGGGATGAATTGGCAAATAAACTAGTCAGTAGCAAAATATAACAATATATTCAAAGCCAAGAAAATCATGAAAAAACCAAATAAAGACCCTAATTTTTTAGAATTAACCTACCAATACAGAATTGAACCCAGTCGAGAAGTTAAGAACATTCTCGCTTGAACTGCTAACGAACTCCGTAAACTCTACAATTACTTCTTAAAACAGTATCGCAAAGAGGATAAGAGAATTAGCAAACTCCCTCCAAAAGACCAAAATAAGGAATGAAATAAATTGCTAGACAAGCAACAAAAAGAATTAGTAGATATCAAAAAGAAAAATCCTAAACTCTACAACATTCAATCCCAAGTCTTACACGATATTCCTTATCGCTTATTGCCCCTAATTTGAAATGGTTTTATAACCAAAAGAAAAGAATTAAAGAAGTTAAAGAAAAGATGGAGATATCCACGAGAGAAAAAGAAAGTTGATTTGTTTAGTCATGTTGTTTTCCCCCAAGAGAAAGTAAATGGAGTTTGGGTTTACAAAATTGAGAGCAACCGATTACTCATTAAGCAAGGTTCAGCAGTGGAACAATCAAAAAGAAATCTTGCCATTAAACTCAAATATCACCGACCAATCCAAGGAAAAATTAAGACCTTAACTGTTGCTTGGAAAAATAATAAGTATTATGCCAATTTTTCTTGCCAACTGCCAAAGCCAAAACAACTCTCTATTAATGAAATAAAAAGACAGTTGGGTATTGATATTGGAGTAATCAATTTCTTTGCTGCCTCGGAGGGTTGAAAGTATAAAAACCCTCAACTCTTTGCCAAGATAGCAGAAAAGTTGAAAAAGTTGTATCATTCATTGAGTAGAAAACAACATAAAAGGAATGAGAGTGATTTGACTAAAAATAGCAAACATTTTGAAAAAGCCAGATTAAGGCTGATGAAAGCATTTAGAAAAGTGGCTCGTCGGATAAATGACCGCAACCATAAATTAAGTAGAAAAATAGTAGATAAGTTTGATTTGATTGCTTATGAGGATTTGAAATTAAGTAAAACATTTGAGAAGCGAGATAAAAAAAGGAAGTTTAGCAAATACACAGTTGAGGAATTATCAAGATTAAAAATCGCTGACTTCTTTACTAAACTGGATTACAAGGCAAAATTGAAAGGGAAAATACCCCGACCAGTTGACCCAAGCAATACCAGCAAAAGGTGCTTCGAATGTGGAAAAATCAATCAAGATTTAGAAAAACGAAGATGGTTCATTTGTGCTAGTCCACTTTGTGATTATGAAGTAGATAGAGATATAAA